CCACCAGACTCCCAGGGACACCACCACCCCTTGGAGCCCCCTGTGTCAATGATCTGGAGACCTCCTCAGGGACCCTCCTCAGACCCTCAGAGAGACCCTCAGGGACACCCCTCACAGGAATCCCCCCAAAATGGTCCAGAGACTCCCACATCCTCCTGGGACCCCCCAAGATCCCTCCCAGTGTCCTCCCTATGGGCCAAGAGACACCCAAGACCCCTCAAAAGACACCCTAGGACACCCCCCTCAGGACCTCCCAAACCCCCTACAAGACCCCTCCAGGATCCCCCAAGGCCCTTCCAGGACCATCCAAACCCCATCCAGGACCCCCTCAAAGATCCCTCCAGAGTCCTCCCAAGACACGTCAGAAACATTCTGGAGCCCCCCAGAACACCTCAAGACCACTCAGGGACTCCTTTCAAGGCCCAAGAGACTCCCAAGAGCCCTCCAGGAGCTTCCAAAACCCGTCCAGGGATGCTGAGGACCCCTCAAGAAACCCCAAGTTCCTCATGGTGGAAGGACCCATGGACTTCCAAGACCTTTCACTGGCCAAGAGACTCCCAAGACCCTTCTAGAGACAACCAAGACCCTCAAGAACCCTCCAGTCCCGGGCCACCAAGATCCCTTCCAGGGTCCTCCCCATGGGCCAAAAGACCCCCAGGACCCCTCCAGGACTCCCCCGAGACCACTAAGGACCCCCAGGTGCCCTCCATACCAGCAGTGCCGCTGTAGGCGCCGAGGTGGAGACGATAATGGTCCTCAGGGCCGGCAACAGCAAAGTCGCGGTAGCGGGCGAAGGCAGCGTCCCACGGGGTACGGAGATCCACCCGCAGCTCCATGGGTGCCCCGGCCGTCAACGCGTGCAGCGCATCGTTCCCTGCGACCCCCACACCTGCATCTGGCCACCGCCACCCACCAGACACCGGGGTCCCTCCCTGGTCACCCACCCAAGCCCACCCGGATGCCTGCGTCCCCTCCAAAGACCCACCTTGATGTCTGTGTCCCCTCCCTGGGTGCCCAAGTCCCTTCCTGGAGCCCACCCAGACACCCAGATCCTCTCCAAAATCCCACCCACCTGGTTGCCCTCCAAATGCCCACACTGATCCTCCCCTGGGCACCTGGGTCCCTCCCTGGAGCCCACCCAAGCCCATCCGAGTGCCTGGGTCCTCTCCAAAGACCCGCTCAGACACCCGAGTCCCTCCCTGGTCACCCACCCAAAAGGCCACCCAGATGCCTAGGTGCCCTCCAAAGACCCACATCGGACCACCTGGATGCCTGGGTCCCCTCCCTTGAGACCACCCGGACACCTGGTCCCCTATCCTGGATGCCTGGTGTCCCCCCACCAGATTCCTGGGTCCTCACCAAGCCAGAACTCGCCGGTGACGTTGCCGAAGCCGTGGGCGTAGGCCTCCCACCCCCGCCAGAAATCAGTGCCCCCGTCCTGGCGGCGCTGGAACACCTTGGGGGGGGTGGGGGTTGGGATAGGGCCCAACACCCCACTGACCCCACAGAGACTTCCAGACATTCCCAGTGCCCCTCCCAGGCCACCCACTAACGTCAGTTCCCTCCCCAGACCCCCCCGGTGTCCCCCATAGAACACCCAGGAACCCCCCCATTGCCCTCCCATAGAC